CCGGGCCCTCGTTTATCCACCTTGCCACATTTGGCGTTGTTGGCAGGATCCATGTAGTACTGTCAAGTAGGTCCATGGATGTAAAGTTTGTGGCACCCTGCGCGGGAGCACGAGGACGTGCTTGTGGAAAGAGGGGGGAAGATGTGACAGTGTGTGTCCTGTCACAATGTCCCGATTGATCATGTCCCCTGGCTACTTGGCCAAGGGGATGTCCCTTTGGCTGACTGGTTAGAGCGTATGACTCTCACCCGGGAGTCTGGGGATCGAATCCCGCCTGGGCCCTCGTTTATCCACCTTGCCACAGTTGGATACATATTTTAAAATAATGAACATTTTATGGGCAGAGGCACATTTCCTTTGAACCACAGGTTTAAAAAGTATTAAAACCTTAACTGAAGTTTTTTGGGGGATTTCCACAACTGTATATTTAGAAAACCCAGTGTTTTTCAGTAGTGCAGCAAATAGGAAGTAAGTTTCCAGTCTGGTAAAAGTCTATTGCAGCAATGCAATTTCATATCTGTTGATTACGTCAATACATGTGACCTAACAGCTTATTTACTCGCTGCATCATTCCAGAAGTGCAGCAGTGTGTTTTTAATGCATGTAATTCTGGCAGTGGAGAGGAACAACATCATATATGACCTCAGAGATGTCAACTGTGATTTCTTAAGTTTTGGTCTAATGGCAGATGGCATTAACTCAAAGGATTTTATGATCTCGTGGGTAAGCGAGGAGGATAGCGGAAGTCTCGAGGGATTTTGTGATCTCAAGTCCAACAAGGAGCACAACGAAGATTCTCCCGGTGGGTACTGGACTGCAGCAAAAGTCGCGAGTAAACCATTTAGCTGCCGTTCCTCTCCGCTGATGCTTCCAGTGTGAAGGAGGGGTAAGACATCTTTGAGTGACATATGCTTAACATAGTTCACTGTTTAGAGGAGAAATTTTTCATTTATTATAATGATTTATGAGAAACTTCTTTAACAAAATGAAAAACTGAACCCAATTTATCTTTATATAGATGGTAAAATTCTACAATTTTCATGCAGAGTCTGGTCATTATCTCTAGAACTAGAGATTATTTTCAGCATGAGATCAAAAATGAAATGAACTAAACTTAAAATAAAACAAAACAGAATAAGTTTGTGGTTTTCCTCCTAATTTAGTGTCTGCTGGTTGTGGCACATTAATTCTGAAAGTCAATATATAAACTCTCACACCCTCATTTTTAACACTCTGCTCTAAAATTCAAGCATACAAAAAGGTCAACTCCCTGATGCCCCTTCCTTTTGGCTGCTACTGTAAATACGAATGTATCCCCTTAAATGGACTTTATGGAGTTTTGAATTTTTATGCTCGCGATTGCCCCCTCAGGCCAAAAGCATAACGGCAGCTTTAATAGTAGGCTCGTGCACGAGGCGCGCATGCTGTACGTGCACACTCCTTAACGAAAATAACAGCTGAGACAGTCCCTTGTGTGTGTGTGTGTGTGTGTGTGTGTGTGTGTGTGTGTGTGTGTGTGTGTGTGTGTGTGTGTGTGTGTGTGTGTGTGTGTGTGTGTGTGTGTGTGTGTGTGTGTGTGTGTGTGTCCCGGAGAACAGGAGAACGTGCAGCTAATTAATTAAATAATTTGGTTCTGTACCTTTCTCTTCAGCACAGCTGACAAAGGTTTAAGATGGGTCAGTCCTCCTGCATGCTCAGATCATTCATTTCCCTTGCTTGAAAAATTGTTCCAAAATGAAAGTTGAACCCACATCTTTTTTATCTGTGAATTCAATGCCGTTCGGCGAGTCTCAAATACAAATTTGGGTGTCTTACTGTAAAAAAATATACCATTAATATAAAAAAGAAACTCTAGATAAACTATGTTGGCAATCATGTTGGCAATCAGAATCAAACCCGGATCCTCTGCACGTAAGTCCGACGTCTTACTAGGCGAGCTATAGCGGCAATGACATCCTTTTTTTCTGTAACATTTATATCGTTGATGACAGCTGAAACAACGTTCAAAGAACAGTTCGGAGAGCTATGCCTGAGCGTGAATGCGCATGAAGCAGCCTGCTCAACCCGACCAGCTCTCTTTTTCTGTGATTTTACAGAAAAATAGGCAATCACAGTAAAAATGCCAGGGCTCATTCTACAAGACCAGGGCTGCAGGAGAATTTATTAATAAGATATTTATTATTTCTACACATGTTTTGGCTGACAAACTTCCATAATGCCCCTTTAATGCTTGTGAAAAGGCCAAGGTGACTTGAAGCAGAGAGCTTAGCTTCAAATGAAATATAGCATTAGAAATCATGCAATTAAAAATGTTTTTTCAACACAAAGAAAGTTAGCTACATTATGTTTTTAGGAAAAGATTTTATTTTCATATGTATTTAATATAAGTGGGGATATTTGAGCATCGCTGGACGATGCAGCGACTGCATGTGGCACTGAGACTGCTGGTCCTCATCCCTCGAGTACAGTCTGCAGTGGAGAGATAAGCCTCCTGCACCCAGAATAGAAAAAAAAATTCACCATAGGCTGTTTTTTATTTTTAATTGTCATGTCTATTTTTCAGCAAAAAAAAAAAAAAAATTCTAAATTTTCTTTTTTTCTCCAGCAGTGAAAGCAAAAAACAACACAATGTTTTAGCTCCATGTATGTCTAGGCCAGGGCTATTCAATTCCGGGCCTCGAGGGCTGGTATCCAGCACGTTTTAGTGGTTTCTCTGGTCCAACACACTAGATTCAATAGATGAGTCACCTGTGCAGCAGCTCATCAGGCTCTGCAGAAGCCTGTTAATCACCAGGTGTCTTATTTATAAAACATTGCATAGAATCCTTACTAAAACCACTCAGCAAAAAAAATGTACTTACGGCATGTACTTTACTTGTTCTGTGTGCGCACGAAGCGGTACAAGTGATAATGCTGCTGGAATTCATATTTGTATCCTCAGCAGCAGCACTGCTGGTGCTCTCCATGTCCAAAATGTGTGTAAGCCAGGTTCATAGTCAACTCAAAGTTGCTCACAGTTTTCCACTACGTTTTCTTTCATAAATCCCAAAGTTTGCATAGAAAGTTGCTCATGCAGTTTCCCAACCCTGTTTTGTGCGTAAGCAAGCTCTATTAATGAGGCCCCAGCTGACTGAAATCGGGTGTGTTAATGCAGGGTTAAAACTAAAACATGCTGGATACCGGCCCTCGAGGCCCGGAGTTGAATATCCCAGGTTTAGGCTATGAAATAAAAGATTTTTAGATGCTCATTACAGAAAGAAAGAAAACTGTCTTTTATATAGCGCCTCTCAAGAAAAAAATCACAAGGCGTTTCATAACAAATAAAAATAAATAACAATTAAAGTATAAAAAAGATTTCAAAAACGATTACAAATATGTTTACAATTAAATAAATAAATGAAATAACATTTGTGATTAAAAAAATTATAATGAAAGGAAGGGAAATCAGTGGATGCCTACATCTGTCAGAAAGTCACCTAATGAAGCCTTCTTTTGTTATTACTAACACATAATAGACTGCTGAAATACACTTGAGAAAAAAACCTTTTGTCTATTTTTAGCATAAAATTTGTTTAAATTCTTAAATGCACAAACAGAGCCACTTGAATACACACACACACACACACACACACACATATATATATATATATATATATATATATATATATATATATATATATACACACACACACAGAGAGAGAGAGAGAGAGAGAGAGAGAGAGAGAGAGAGAGAGAGAGAGAGAGAGAGAGAGAGAGAGAGAGAGAGAGAGAGAGAGAGACTCATGATGCAACATTAGGAAAAATGAACACAAGAAACTACAGAAGTACCAGGGCCTCAAAGAAGAACTTCAGAAAGCCTGGAGAGTGCAGATATCAGTGGTACCCATGGTCATCGGAGCACTCGGGGCAGTAACCCCCAGACTGTAGGAGAGGCTAAAGCAGATCCCGGGAAAAACATTAGACATCTCAGTCCAGAAAAGAGCAGTTCTAAGAACAGCTAAGATACTGCAGAATCCTCAAGCTCCCAGGCCTCTGGTAGAGGACCCAAGCTTGGCAGGATGAGACCACCCATGGAGGGTGAGATGGGACTTTTATTTATTGTTTTAATAATAATATTATTATATACAGACACATTTACACTTCTGAGATGATTTCCATAAACTTTCACATGACTAAACAATTACATATCATCACCCCCTCATCTTCTGAAACAGATACACAAACAGGATGGAAAAACTATGGCTTCTAATCATCTCCCCAGCTTTACATGTCAGACCGTTTCGATATTGATGTCAACATACTGTGCATCTCTATTTATTTTACATATAAATTTAACCAGTGTTATTTGTGTGTTGCTGATGTTTCTCCCCCGAATGTTGAACTACTCCAGGAATTAACATTATGTTGCATAATTTGTTCACACCTCAAAATGAGGGGGCACTCCATTTGCAGCTGCTTTGTGGGTATGTGTACACCACCTTTGAAGTATACTCTATCACATTACACTGACACATACACACACATAAAGTGGAGGCACTTTGTCTTTGAAGTGCAGTTAAGACAGATTTACTGCTCCATATTGACTGGTATTTAAGACTCTTCAAGGAGACGGCTCCAATAACGAGTGAGAATGTGTGTGTTTGTGTGTGTGTGTGTGTGCGTGCGTGCGTGCGTGCGTGCGTGGGTGTGTGTGTGTGTGTGCTTGTTTTATATTTTTAAGTGGACAGATGTTATCTTTTAACCTGTAGTGTGTGGACATTTCCACTTTGTGGGGAGGTTTGTCTGGTGAAGGCCTTTGCATAGTTTTGTTTAAATGGAACTATGAGAAGTTTTAATCAGTTTAACATTTGTTTCATCGTTATCAAAATGCTTTTGCCACCACAAATAATATTTAACCGATGATCTCTAATAATCAGCAACCATCTCTTTAGTTGTGCCTCATTGTTTTTTTGTCACTGTGAGAAAAACTTTGGATTTTGACAGAATTTTCTGTTTCACAGATCGCCTCTTCTCTCCCTGCTTCCAACACCAACTGGGAGGCAGTCACTGCACCCATCATGTCGGTGAGTCCACTCTCACATGGGTGCTGATTATGTTTCAAAACAGGGGAGAAATCTGGGAGTTTATTAATTTGGTCAATATTTAAGACCAGCCTCAGCCAGTTTTATTGTGTAAATGTTTAAAACTGTTGATTTTTCTTAAAGATCTTAGCTAAATCAAACTTTGATTATGATATCTGAGTTAGAAGTTGAACAACTTTTAGACATTTAAATCAGATATTTTTTAATTAATAATAAATCTCACTGGGAACTCTCCACTAATGTAAACGGACCTAAATTTGAGAGTTGTCAAGATCCTATATTATTTTTTTATGAAATTCTTTATTTGTGGTAAATATAAAAAAACATTGATAAAGTTTGTGCATTAGTCTTGATTGCTAGCAGCGATAAGCTGTTCATATATTTTCTTTTAGTCAGAAAATGAGGATGGAAAAAAATACAGATTTAGGCTAAAATGTTGGTACCCTTTGGTTAAATAAAGGGAAAAACACAATGGTCACAGAAAAAAGTTCAATCTGACAAAAGTAATAATAAATTAAAATTCTAGGAAATGTAACCAGTGAAAGTCAGACATTGCCTTTCCAATGTGCTTTAACAGAATTAATTAAAAATTAAACTCATGGAACATGCTTGGACAAGGTACCCCTAAACGGATGTTACCCCTAACTTAATATTCAGTTGCACAACCTTTTGACGCAATCACCGCAATCAAACGATTCCTGTGACTGTCAATAGCCCTTGTCAGATAGACATTCTGGAATATGTGTGGAAAATTCAATCCGGTTTTTAACCGGAACTGTGTTTTCAGACACTTTTGTACCGGAACTTGTCCTTTCGGCTGCGTTCACACAGCAGGGAAAAGTTCCAGATGTCGGGGGTGGGGGGTGGGGGGGTGGGGGTGGGGTCGGACTTATGTTAAGCATAATTCTGCGCACACGAAGACGCATAAGAGACCTGGATGATGAAGCTCAATGGTTAAAGGAACCACTGAAGCGGTGTGAAGCACGCCGTCGCGCGTCTAGTCTAGACAGTCCCGTAGGAGGCGAGCTGCCATGGTTCGCCGCATGCTACAGGAGCGAACTATCTAGGTGCGCACAGCGTCCCCCGGTCCCCTCCTCCTCCCCCTCCTCCCTGTCCGGAACTCGACCTCACCAGTCTGAAGCAGCCACCTTGTCCGTAACAAGTCCGGACCTGTTACTAGGGGCGTTGTCCGGTTAAATTACGGAAAACGTTATCCGGATGTTTGTATTCAGACACAAAGGTCTTACGGAGAGTCTGGAACATTTCCCTTTTTCTTGGCCTGTCTGAAGGGGACTAATGAGACTTCTGCACCTCTCAGCAGGTATTTTGGCCCACTCATCATGAGTTTATAAAAATCCTTTTTTTTTACATTGGTCTAAATATATATTCTAATATTTTGCGATACCGTTAGTGATGGGATTTATGTGTCTTTAAAGGGAGCCGTTCATCAGTTGGTTGCTTACCTCAAAGAGTCGTTCCAAAGACTGGCTCTTTTGAACGAAGCAAAGCAGTGAGAGCGGGGAGGGGGGTGTTTTGGGAGCACTGAGCAATGTGTTCCTCCAGTGTCCATGAGACTATGCGGAGGATGGGTAGCGTTCCACCGATGTCCGTCACAGTGGTGGGTGGGGGTTGTGGTCCGTGGTGGTGGGGTCGTTACTGGGAGACAAGATGAACGGCTCTCTACAGGGACTCGGCTCTCATCGTTCACTTTGAAAAGATTTGATTTGATCATAAACATCCCATCACTATATAAAATGTGAACCATCACGTTAAAGGAACTCTTTCCAGTTTATTTTTTTTTTATTTTTTTGCTTTTAGATTCTGTTTTAACTTACTGTCGTAAAATCGAAACCGAAACTCTCCTCCTTGCTGTGCGTTCATCTTTGTAACACCTTCATCTAACTGCTGAATTGTTTCCTCAGCCTTCCTTTGTGTCTACAGGAGTGGTTCATCACTAACTCAAACAAATCAGTTGTGTTCACGATCCAAAACATGCAAGAAACGTGTCGGAAGCAGATTGCAGCAGCAGCATGTCTTCTAGCCATTTTACCTTTGACTTGTGTTTGCTATTGACTAGTGTTCTTGGTAAATATGACACAGATCCTGAGTGGAGGAATCATCTGACCACAGGGAAAGGCTGTAGCGCAAGGCTATTCAACTCTGGGCCTCGGGGGCCGGTATCCAGCACATTTTAGTTTTAACTCTGCTTCAACACACCTGATTTCAATCAGCTGTACAGGTGATTCAACCACAGAATCAAGTTTGTTGGACCAGAGAAACCATTAAAACATTCATCAGATTGTCTTTGTTTCTCCTGAGGCTCCACCATAATAAACATGTTAGAAATGCTAACCAATCGTTACTGCTTCATGCAAGACACGTGACTTTGGGGAGCGGTCACGTTAACGTGGCCACAGGGGGTGGTGGGAAGTGAGTGAGTTTTCATTAATCCTGTAAAGGGTCATTTTAGCACTGACGGGTTCAAGAAAATCATTTAAAATATGAAAAAGTTGCTTAGTTTCCCTTTAAGACCCATGGAAACAATACAAACATGATGTGAATGCATAATGTGTCTTTTGTTTTGGGTTCATCTGAGGTGGAGTTGTCCTCATTTTTACGATTATTCCAATGTCTACAACATTCAAATCAAAAGAAAGATCAACTTCATTGTATTATATGTTAATCTAAAAGAACTTAATGTTAGTAGCTGGCTTTATTTATTAAGCAAGCATCAAATAAGATCCATTAAATCGATTTGATTGTGTCCATAAATGAAAGTGTTTTTTAAGGTGCATTTAAAACCTTTACTAAGAGATTAGGTTAAGACAATATATTTCTCATTTTTATTCAGCGATAAAGTGACATACGAGTCATCATGATTGATTTATTCCCATTAATGTAAGTAGTTAGTATAAATATTATCAAACGCAAATTCTCTGAAGCACGCCTCTGTTTCAGCGTTAGTCCTGATCAGTCTAATCCTTCCCTCTAAATCTGTTCATTACTTACGTTTGTCCTTTGAAACAGGGCCGAGTGTGGCAGCTAACGTCTGAGATATAATGACCCCACATTTTATTTGAGTTTTATTACAGTTGCCGTGGATTCAGATAAATGGCCTGCAGCAGTGACCGCCCAAAGGTCTTCAGTGAGACTGAAGGCTGCATTGTGTTCCTATATTTAGTACCAGCACTCTGATATTAAAACTAAACTATGCAGATGTATTTTTGTGTGTTACTGATTAATAAATACTGGGTAAAAAGAAAATAAAATAGCAAAAAACTTAGATTTGTAGTATTTTTAAATTGAATTTGTGTTCAATTCTTAACATTTGCTCAAATGTTACTTTTAAATTAAACTTCTATTGAACAATATTTCCATCTCAATGCAGACATCTCTCATGTTTGCATGTTGTTTGTGCAAAGATTGTTTATGCTAAAGGAGAAAATGCACAGTAAATGCACCACATTCAGTGTTTTCAGCCATAAACTGATCAAAGCAGCAATGGTGTTGTGTGATAAGTAAAACTGCGTTACAGAGACTGAGTCACAAACATTCTTACTGGATCTGTGAGATCATAGCAGATAGTAAAAGTATTTATTTAAACATTATATTTACTTGCCATTAAATATTTGGCAAAGATTTCACAAAATCCAGAGAATCACTAACCCCTTCATTTACTGCACCTTTCATAATTTAGACAAAAACATTCTAGAAAGAAAAGTATTTTAAAAGTGACAAATTGAAGAAATGTTTGGCAATAATTCTATGATGTAGGAGCAGAGTAAATCATTTCTCTTTTTATCTTTTAACCATTTTCATTTTCAGGACATGGCTGCAAAAGGCACACCAACGACAGCGGTACCTTTGTCGCTGGAGGATTTGGACAAAACCATAGCTGCCTTTGACACAGTGGAACAGCTTCTCAAATCTTTGAACCCAGAAACATGGAGACAAGACCTGGACAGCATCTACTCTCAGACATACATTTATTATAGATCCAGAGCCTACCATCTGGCCAGCAAACACAACAAAGGTAGGACACACAGGTATTTCCTTTTGTTTGGGGCGTAGTATGATATGTGTTTAATTTCAAGAATGTAAATCTAGACAGAAATTCTTTAACTTATTGCGTCAAATAAATGGAAAAGTGTCATTTGGTAGATAAGCTCGACCAGTCTCTTGATAATGATTACCGAGTCAACAAGTCCTTGTGTTAAATAATCATGGCATCAGTTTTGACCTAAATAATTGTTTCCATGAATCAACTAGGACTGTGATTTTCATCATCTGTCAGTCATGCAAGCCTCAGATTAAAACTGCTGTTTGAAAGGTGTTAAACCCAGAAGGCAAAGTGTACAAAGCAGCATAAGGTCCATAATTTCATTGCATACTAGATTTAAGTTTGTCGTTGAGGCTAGATCACTGAAGACACGTTGAGTTTGTGCAGGAAGATCAAGGTTCGCATCTTGATAATCCTCCAAAATATGTTTTGCACTGATAATATTTGTCAGTGAGAATCCATGTGCACCAAGAGTGACCCACAACACAGCAGGAGATTTATTGTGTTCTCACAGACTGGGCTATTCATAACGCTCAGTGGTGAAGCATTGCAGAGGTCAAAGACCATGACTCAGTCAATCGTGAGAAATTAGCCAGGGCTGCTTTATGATTGGGTGAATTGCAGCTACAAGGGATCAAATAGTAATAAAATAACATTTAGAAAGGTATGCAAAAAGATTAATCATACATCCTGTCATTTAGTTTTTGCAAGATTATGCAAAAAAACAGGAGTTTTTGCAGCAAATGAATTTGTTCTCACGAGAGCTATAGGCGTGAACATATATGTACGGTAGTAAGAAACAAATATAAAGGAGATTGTGTGCATGTGTGGATGTGTGCATACGTACGTACGTACGTGTGTGTGTGTGTGTGTGTGTGTGTGTGTGTGTGTGTACCTTTGCAACAGACCTCAATGCTTTTGACTACATCTCCTACTGCTGTGCTTTTGTAATTCTCTCCCCTTCTGTTTCTGGATGTGTAACTGAAGGATGCCTTGTTCTTTAGTAAACATTTGCTCTTGACAGCAAATCTATTTCTATTTAATAGTGTGTGTGTGTGTGTGTGTGTGTGTGTGTGTGTGTGTGTGTGTGTGTGTGTGTGTGTGTGTGTGTGTGTGTGTGTGTGTGTGTGTGTGTGTGCTCCACTGGGAAGATGTAGGGAATTTAGGCTATTTAAAGTGGTATAGGCACTGCAGCTCTTCAATACACCGATGTAGCGCTCTCTAATCGAAAATCCAACCTGTGTAGCGACTCAGAAATCTGCCACAGTCAGCAGCTTAGCTTTGTTGTCATTAAGACACACACAAGCTCAGACCTATCTTTGTTTTCATGAATGAAGGTTTGCCTGGTGATAATATTGAGTGGGACGTATGATGTCCAGCTTTCTACATGAATAGGTTGAGATAAATCCACAGTAAACTTGTATTTGTTACAGGCATAAATTATTGTTGCATACTCTTGCAAACACAAACACACACTCTCTCTCTTTCTCTCTCTCTGGACTTTCTTATGTTGCTGTCTTTCTGAGTGACATTCACTGTTAGAGTCTTGCTTGCTCTTGGTCTCTTTTCCTCCCACACACCTTGACAAGGTTCCACACCACTGATTTTCTGAGATTACACTATTATAAACAGTCTCTCTCTCTCCCTCTCTCTCTCTCTCTCTCTCTCTCTCTCTCTCTCTCTCTCTCTCTCTCTCTCTCTCACCCTCACTCGCACAGAGACAGACAGGCACACAGGCTGCACTCACAACATGCACACTCAAGTAGGATCTGTGTGTTTCCTTGTCCCTGCACACACACGTGTGTAGTGAACATGACCACTTCCAAATATAGTACATTTCAGGTTTCAAAAATCTTACTTTGGGACTTAGGGAAAGTCTAAACAGAAATTCGAAATAAATACAGTTCATAGGGACATTTGCAAATCTTGACTTCCATTCAGCACATATTCAAATATACCACTTTCTTATTAATGTTGGTAAAAGTGCCTTGGATTTTTTTTTCCCTTATAATATGTATGCTCATACAACAAGCCCATACAAATAGTTACATGTTGTTCAGAATTATTGATGTCTTCTGAGATACTAATAATCCACTTTAAAATAATTTTAAAAGGATCGGACAGAACAACAAACACAACTTTATCCATCCTGAGACAGGTTTTCTAATGGCTTAGTTCCTCTATACAGTCTTTGTTTCATGTGTGAAAACAGCACAGTAATGTTACACAATGTATGACATGCAGTGATGCAGCTGTTAGCAAGTAGGCTAATGCAGAGCTAGCATGTCTCCTCAGGAGTGCTAACATGTATTTTGGTGGTATCTTAAACTAAACAACACAGGCAGAGCGACAGCCACAGGTAATGTGTGCATACAGGGCATTCAACATGCTAGAAAAGACAGCTGCACACTGCCTCCAAAACAGACTACTTTCACATTCGGCTTTTCGCTTTGGGCTGTCTCCATTAATTCCCAGTTCACAGCAAACTCGGTCAAATACGTGGAGCCAGCCGGCAGAGAAAGGTACGCTAAGATTCAAAGCAAAATTGCCAACAAACTGCAAAGCATCAAGGTTTCTAAATCTCTTTCAGCACCAGAGCTGCCCGGTAGCTGTAGGTGATAAGCAGAGAAAAGTTGGCATGTCGGCCAAGGAACCAAGTGCTTGCCCCATCAAGGGAATATGCATCGCTCAGTAGGGAGCCTAAGTCTCCTCCCGTTCCAGTCGGCTCATGGGTTCCCGGATCAAAGAAAAAATGAATGCAAGTCAATGTGGCTAAAAGAGCTATTTTCTAATTTGCTTTGTCTTAGGCCCTGGATCGCACATATGTTGTTCTGCAATTTAAATGAAAACTAACGATGGGTGCTCCAACTACGCCAGTCACATACTTTGAGATTTATCAGTTTGCAAAAGTTCGTAATTAGCATGACTACAAGAAATCTGCACGTTGCATGAATGACGCCACAACAGAATATCTTCTCTCCGAGCGTAGCTGCTACTTATTAGATGGCCAGATTTATGGTGGTTCTTTCCTCCTGAAGGAAGGATTTGAAGTTTGCTACATTTACAGCCATCTTCCCTCAGTTTTCTCCCATGTCTGGTTTGATGATGTAACCTTCATGAAGAGCATTTGTAGTCCTGGACTTATTTTCACACAAAACCTAAAATAACGCCCACCCCTTCGAAAAGAAGTGCTTTCTTGGTATCAAAATGCGTATTAAAAATTCACAGACATTATATGTGAAACCCATGGTACATGACAAGCGGAATTACAAATGAGCGTTCTTCAGGGATACCCATGGTTCAGAAGTAGATGGGGGTGACTTAGGCTCACTATACAGCTGCATATTGAGCAAGTAAACAACTTGAAAGATGAGAAACCCCACTACCTTTAAATCTGTTCACAATGTTAACATGTTTCTTAATCAGTGTTCCTAAACAACTGAAACTCAAACCACAACTTGTATGTGTTTTCTTCTTTTCTTCTTATTTTAGTGCCTTGCTGAAAATGATCAGATCAGGACTTGGTTTTAACAAATATTCAAAATAAATT